CTCCCTACCCCACCCACCTCCCTATTTTCTGCATATAAACTGATGTTTTCCCAGACACCATCAGTTCTGAGGAAGGGTCACCGGACCCGAAACGTTAACTCTGTTTTCTCCTCCACAGATGCTGCCAGACCTGCTGAGCTTTTCCAGCAACTTTGTTTTTGCACAATTTTAACATTTGCATTTATTCATGATGCAAGGAGGTTTTGAATTAGTCTTCTAGGTATGAAAAAAGTTAAGAACTTCCAGGATTTTCAGAGGCCATTTTGAATTGTATTTAAATTTGTCATGGTGTTGGCACAGGAAGAGTTAATTCTTATTTTTTTTTAAATTAACTACCTTTGCATTAAATCTGATTGTAGGTTCTAGGATCTGATCCCAGGATGAGTGAGACACCAGCAATAGTTCTCCCAGACATCACCAGCTCTCCAGACAGGGAGTTGGATCAAACATCACAGATAAGGTAAGCGCTGTGGAGCCAGACATCTGTGGAAATTCTCCTGAGTGCTGCGACTTTTGGTGAAACTCCACATAAACAGCGTACAATCCGGAAGGAACTCTGCAGAAATTGCCAGCCTGTTTTTTTTTTCCTCCCTTCCCTCTCCTGAAGATAATATCGTTACTGAGCCCCTGTGTGAAGGTTGTCAGCAATAGTTCAGTGACCAACCTAAGCTCCCACTCATCATTTTACTCTCACCTCTGAGGGAGCAACTCGTGTATTTGGATCACACTCCAGCAACCTGACCACATAATCCAGGCTGACATTCCCAGTGAGGTAGCACTGGACAGTTGGAGGGCGCATTGAGAGAGCACTGAATCATTGCAAGGGCAGTGCTGAGGGAATACTTCACTGACAGAGAGACAGTACTGTGGCAACACCCACCACACTGTCAGAAGGGCAGCACTGTGGGATTGCTAAACCTTCAGATGGATGAGTTGATGCACTGTTAGAGCTGTTGCCTTTTGGATGCACTTTTAAACCAAGCCCTGTCAGTCATGTCAGTAAAAGATCCTACTGTGCAATACAAAAGAAGAGCATGAGATTTAACTCTAACCCCTGGCCAATAGTTATCACTCAAACACATTATCTGATCATCACTCATTGCTGTTTGATTCAGCTTGATAATAGTCTCATCTGAGTCACAATGCTGTGGGTTCCAGCCTCACTCTAGGATCTAAGAGCAGATGATCAGTATTGATATTACATCCTAGATGTTAAAGATACCGTCCAGTGTGGTGTCATGTAGGGAAATCATATTTTTTTTGATCAGCCATGATCTAATTGAATGGTGGAGCAGGCTTCAGGAGCCAATTGACCTACTCCTTGTTCAGAGCTGAGGTAGGGTTGAATCATTTAAGGTTGAGTCATTGTTCAAACAAAATGACTCTGTATGTTTGAACGACCTATTCCGAGAGCAGGATGTTTTTCTGTCCCCACTCTCACACATTCTCTCCCCACATCCCGTAGGAGTGTGACTGCTCAGTGATCATGTTTGTTGTCTGTGAGAGCTTGCTGTGCACACTTTGATTGCTCGTTTTCCTGCATTACAGAGTGACACAATTCAGAATGTTACTTTGGGGCTGGGAAGTGCTTTGGATGCCCGATGATGACGAAAGATAGCGTAGGAATGCAAGTTATTGTTCTGTTCATTTCCTGACATGCCTTCAAAAATCACTTGTACCTTATGGTCAAGCAGCATCAGAGGAGCAGGAAAGCTGATGTTTTGGGCCTGGACCCTTCTTGGGGTCTAGGCCCAAAATGTCAGCTTTCCTGCTCCTCTGATGCTGCTTGACCTGCTGTGTTCATCCAGCTCTACACCTTGTTATCTCAGATTCTCCAGCATCTGCAGTTCCTACTATCCCTGTACCATATGGTCGCAGTTTTACCACAACTACCTACTTTGTTGGGCCTCTTCAGGGTAGTTTTGAATCACGTTTCAGACAGATCCTGTTAAAGATTTCACTCTCCAGAAGAACTCTAAACTAAATGAAGTTTTGACAACTTTCACTAATGCTTGTTTTTAATCTCTAGATTATTCAAAACTAAATTTAAATCCTCAAATCAGTGTGGTGGGTTTTAAACTTTCTGGATTGATAATCCAGTGACAGAGCCACTTACAGTGCTTTTCAAAGTTTGTTGCGAATGTGATTCAATTGTACTCCCAATGCAGTGCCCCAGACACCATTGTTATCGATCTGTTTTCCCCTTCTCCTCCTCCTTTCCCTCTCCGCCTTTCCCATCCTCCTCTCCCTCCTCCCCCATCACTCTCCAGCCCTCATCCCCTTCTACCTCGATTCAACTCCTCCTATGCCCACCCCCCTCACCTCCACCCCACCCTGTTATGAGAACGAGGTACCTGGCATCCAGTCACAGCCAAGAGCTGATGGTGTCCACCCTCAGCTGTGTTCCCTGCTATCCCTGGCCATGGTGTCTCAGTGGTTAGCACTGCTGCCTCACAGCGCCAAGGACCCAGGTTCAATTCAACCCTGGGGCGACAGTCTGCGTGGAGTTTGCACATTCTCCCCGTGTCTGTGAGGGTTTCCTCCGGGTGATCCAGTTTACTCCCACAGTCCAAAGATGTTCAGGTTAGGTGGATTGGCCATGCTAAATTGCCTGTAGTGTTCAGGGATGTGTAGCTTAGATGGGTTAAAGGGGATGGATCTGTGTGGGATGCTCCAGGGTTGGTGTGGACTTGTTGGGCCAAGGGGCCTGTTTCCACACTGTCGGGATTCTATGACCTATGATCTATGATCTATTCTCTAGATGTAAAATGCAATGAAATAATGGCTCAGACAACACTCTAGATGGGGCATTGAAATGTTGGTCCAAGTTGGACTGTGCCATTTCATTGGCATTAGCCAAACTAGCATTATCAACTAAGGTTTTTGAGAAGATTTGTAACTCAGGATGCGGTTATTGACTTGTTCTCTGAGCTGGTAAGTTTGTTCACAAATGTTTCATCACCATGCTAGGTAACATCATCAGTGCACCTCCAGTGAAGCCTTCAAACTTATCAGCTCGGCAAGCAAGTCAACAACTGCATTGTCAGCTGAGTGATACAGAAGTTAGTGACATTAATTTGAAAGGAGGCAATTACTGACCAAAAGCTTCCAATCATTTGTGGAACTCCCAGGGATGCTTTGGGATGAGGGGATCATCACTGCATCGTAAGTCATCTAAGTATGACATTGGAGTCCAATGAATGCATTGGACAGTGGAATGGTTGAGGTGGGTATGAGATGGAAAGTGGCCTGGAGGGCAGCAGGCACTCCTTTTTGGATGTTATGTGTTGGTCTCTCAGCGGGCGCGACATGTTCACCAAGTTGGTACAATGCTGTGTGTGACCAGGGGTGATGTGGAGCAGAAGATGGGGCTACTTGGGATCCAGTTCTGTAGCTTGTATCTGCTGTGGGGATGGCTTCCAGTATTGTCTGGACAGAGTGAGCTGCACTATCCTGGCAAGCTGTGTTCTAAATATACTGAGGAGCTGGGGAATTGGAGCAATCTTCATGAGGAGGAGGATGAGGTCATTGAGCTGCAGAAAGCTGTCCTTGTGCTTGTCGAGGCTCAGCTGCATTGAGTGCTTCAGGGCAGGCAGAATGACTGACCTGATTCCAGTATCCGATGCTAGCTGGGTGCAGAGGAGCATCATGGACTGTCACAGTCATCATTCCAGCATTTATTTTGCATTGTGGGGGGCAAACTGGAGGCTGTATTCATTTCCTTTGTGCTTCCTTTTGCTAGCTGTTAATAAAAGCTTATGTTTGGACATGGCCAACTGCTTGACAGTGATGTTCCCCGAATGGATGATGACCAGATGCAAGTGCCCACTGTGCGTTGGAGAAAGATTAGCAGGAACTCAGAGAGGTTGTTTAGACAGGATGTATCTAGGGACAGGTAAGGTGTGGTGTGCTGTAGTTTGGTGGTTTGAGTCTCTGCACAGCAACTCTTCAAAGATGGCACGGGGCAAGGTGGCTAGTCTTTCAACAGATTGTTCCCAGAACAACAGGCACTATGCGTGATAAAACGATGATAGAATTGGATGTCAGGAATGGCACAGAGGCAGAGTCGGTATTTACTGAGGCGTATTTGGTAAAGTATGGTGAGAAATCCCACTGGGCCTCGTGGTAAGAACCTCTCCTACAAGGTAACCCACTCACACTTAACCAAGTGTAAAATTCAGCCCAATGGCTTTTAGGATCCAAATATAAACATTGGGATTAATGAAGGAAACACTCATGCTGTCCATCCTGCACTCATCATTCATTCACTCACTGTTAACTCACACATTAACCCCTACTTGCTCACTCAGTCAGCATAATCTCACCTAGGGAGGTGATGGCCTAGTGGTATTATCACTGGACTGTTACTCTAGAAACCCAGGTTATGTTCTGGGGATCTGGGTTCAAACCCTGTCATGGCAGATGGTGAAGTTTGAATTCAATAAAACTCTGTCATTAATACTTTAATGATAACCATGAAACCATTGTTGATTGTCAGGACAAACCCATCTGATTCACTAAGGTCCTTTAGGGAAGGAAACTGCCATCCTTACCTGGTCTAGCCTACATGTGACTCCAGACCCATGGTGGATGGCTCTTAATTGCCCTCTGAGTAATTAGGGACGGGCAATAAATGCTGGCTTGGCTAGTGACAGCGAGTTAAAAAAAAACTTTTCCTTCCCTGATATTGATTCAGTCTGCCTGGCATTTATCTCCCTCTGCATTTGTTTATTTATTATCTCCTAAGGTTTATTCCTTCCCTTCCCCTCTTCTTGGTGTTTCCACCTCTTTTGCATATTCCCCCTCCCCCATATATTTATTACCCACCCTGCCAAATTGAAGTTCTACTTCAGATAACAAATGAGGACCCCATTAAATTTACACCGCATGAATTTTAGATTTTAATTTAGTCTGAACATTTTTCTTGTCCTTTGCAGATCCCATAGTCCTATTCAGAGACGGTCCAGCCGGAACTCCAGAACTTCCTTCTCCTCAACAAGTTCCCTGACCTCTGTTGGTAAAGTATTGATCAGCACAGAGATTCCTGGTTAACTTCATATTATACTTATTATATTCACTTATTAAAGTTGTAACAATTTTTTCTGTATTCATTTTTCACACAGATTAGCAGGGTTTTGACTCTCCATGAAAACTGAAAGAGCTGCAGATGCTGTAAATCAGGAACAAAAACAAAGTTGCTGTAAAAGCGCAGCGGGTCTGGCAGCATCTGTGAAGGAAAAAACAGAATTAACGTTTCTGGTCCAGTGACCCTTCCTCAGAATGTTCGGGTCACCGGACCCGAAATGTTAACTCTGTTTTTCTCTTCACAGATGCTGCCAGACCTGCTGACCTTTTCCAGCAACTTTATTTTTGTTTTGACCCTCTGTTTCTGACTCTAATTCATTCTTTCTCAGCCTCTGTCTGTCACTGTATCTCAGTCACTCTTCTGTCAGTCAGTTTGTGTCCCTTATTTTGTATCTTTCCTCTTTTGTCTATTGCTCTTGGTCATTTCCTTCCTCTCTGTCTTTATCTATCTTTGCCTCTCTTATTTACTTTCTCCAGTTATTAATTTGCAACTAATTTTTCTGTCTTCATTTTTTACACTGATGTAGCAGGATTTTGACCCTCTGTTTCTGACTGTTACTTCATTCTTTCTAAGCCTCTGTCTGCCTCTCTATGTTTTTCACTCCCAGTTAGTTTCCCTACATTGTTTTATATTTTTCCTCTCCTGTCTGTTGCTCTTAGTCTCTTCCTTCCTCTCTCTTTTTATCTATCTCTGCCTCTCTTGGTCACTTTCTCCAATTATCCATTTCCCTCTCTGTCTTTCCCTTAATTTCCACCTTCTTTCTCTGACGTCTCTGTCGCCCTTTCTGCCTTCCTTTTGCTGCCTCAATTTCACTCTGTGTCACTGTGTTTGTTTCTCATTCTGTTTCCTTCCCGTTTCACTTTTTAACTTACATAAAAAATAATTGTGGAAGGCAACAATATAAATCACAGCATTTCCCTCAGTGAGCCTCAGAGCAGGGAGAGATAAACAATATGAGCATTTTCTCAAAGCTGTGGGGATCTTGCACATTGAGGAAAACCCAGGTCATATGTCCTTCAGGCACTTAATTGGCCACTGTTGGGGCCTCCCCTATGGCCCCTTCTAGCACAAGTCTCATTTACCAAGAGCTATTGTCAATCAGAGGCTAGCAACTTGTCATTGCTACCAGTAGGAGCAGTGACTGCTGGAGGCAAAGCTCCCAGCCAATACCAAGGACCACAGGGGGACCCCAGGCCATAGGTGAGTTTTGGCAGGATGGGAACCTTAGGGTGGGGGTCAAGATGTGGATTGCAGAATGGGGTTGTTGGAAAGGGATGGGGATGGTCAGACAAGTGGTTGCTTCCAACAGCCATTCCTCTGACAAATGCTGGGACCATTTGCCTGAGCACAGAGCGCCTGATAATAGCTGACTAGTTTTGCTGGGCGATCTTTCAAGGCCATGATAGATTTGTGTGTCTGTACAGCCTCCTTTTAATCCCTGAGTTACCATGCAGTTGAGGTGGGCTTAGAGATATTAGGTGTCAGTTGACTCATTAATGAGGCTGTTTGTGACTCTTTGCTTGAACCCAAGATGAGCTTCCAGCCCAGTATCCATGATATCTCTAAGACCACCCATTTCCACCTCCATACATTAGCTGACTCTGCTCCATATCTCAATTCATCTGTTGCTTACATTCTCATTTGCACCTTTGTCACGTCTCCTATGCAGTCCTAGCTTACCAGCTAAATTTTACCGTCTTCAAGTCATCCACAACTCTGGTGACTTAATTTTCACCGAGTCCCATTCTTCAAACACCCTGGTGCTGGTTGATCTACATTGGTTCCCAGTTAAGCAGTGCCTTGATTTTTAAAACATGTATCCTTGTTTTCAAATCCATCCATGGCCTTGCCCCTTACTGTCTCTCTGATCTCCTCAAATACCTTATGTAGCTCGATGAATAATTTTGTTTCATGGTATTCCAGTGAGATACCATGGGTCATTTTATTATGTTAAAGGCGCTGTATAAATATACAATGCTGTTTTTGATTGAGGTTGTGTTACTGATTGATGTTTCTTGTTTTTAGATGGTGATGGCCATATCTATGATCTAGTGAATGACAAGTTACCAGAAGTGCAGCTTTCAGATGAAGATAAGAAGAAAAATGCCGAACTGCTGGAGGAAGCAAAGAAGATCAGTGAGAGGTTTCTCACGCGTCGCTGCCGCCGTTCCAGAAACAGCACTTCTGACTCTCCGCCAGGTAAATAGGGCTCCTCATAGCTACAAGAAATCACCTTGACCATCTTGTTCAAGTGGTCACAGAGTAAACTTGTATCTACACTCTCAAACCAAACACTGCCAGGACAGGTAAAGCATGCAGTTATATACAGAGCTGGTCTCCCTCTACACTGTCCCCATCAAACACTCCAAGGGTAGGTATTGGGGAATAGTGGGTATATGAATGTCAAAGTGTGAAGATTGTGAGCTGAAGGATATCACTAAGATTTTGAAACTCTTTTCTGGAGACCCAAAGAGCCAATGGAGTCTATCAGGAGTTTTGTACAGGTAGAACCACTACAGGTGAACACTATGAGTTCCATTTAGGGAAACAGGTGACATGGAACTGTGAGAATGTGTAAAGCTAGACGGATGGAAAAGCAGAAGTGTAAGTCATGTCTCAGTGGGTAGAGTCACTCTTCTGAGTTAAAAACTTCAACTTTCATTCCAGAGCCTGCAGCCCAAAACTCCAGGCTGAGGTTCTGAGTGCAGTACTGAAGGAACACCGCACTTTCATCAGGCTGTCTTTTGGGTGAGATTTTAAACTGAGGGCCTGTCTGTCTTTTCAGAATGTAAAAGATTTCACCACAACATTTTAAGAACAGCTGGGAATTCTTCCTTGTGTCCTAGCCAATGTTTAATTCTCAAAGCAGAGTAAATACAAAAACAAAATGCCTGAAATATTCAGCAGGATAAGTACTATCAGCAGAGGAAGGGCAGAATTAATATTTTAGGTTGATGATGTCTCTAAAACAGATCATCTGCAAATCTAGTTGTCTCTATTGTACATAAATTGGCTGTGGTCCTTCCTATAACAGTGACAGCCATTTAGAGGTACTTAACTAACTTTAAAGTGCTTTGGAGATTGCAAAAGGAAGTATAAAAATGCAACAGAACACCAGTCTGAAGTTGGGAAATATTTCAAAAATCAACTCTCAGTATTATCTCTGTGTGACAAACATAAAAACAGGAGGAGCTCCTTGAAATTATTTCATTGCTTAATTAGATTGTGACTGATCTGTACCTTTGTACTAAATAATGAGAATAAAAAGCAGATGATTTGATAATTGAAAAGAGTTAATCACAAACAAGTGAGAGTTATGTTCCTGCTAACAAAGTACAGATGCTCTCTTTTTCGAAGTGCTAGTAAATAGCTGTTTCTGCAGTTGGTCCTTGTCTGCTGAATTCATGCACTTGCCCATGGTATATCTGCATGACATTTTTCCTTTTATTGATTGTAGCACTCACTCCATCACGGACACCAATAGCTTCCCCGAGCCCTTCCAGAAGTAACTCTGTGACCATACAACCACAGATTGGTAAGTATGCAGAGTCATTGCATGTGTTATCAGGGAAAGTTTGTTTAGAACATCATAAACTGAAAGGTTTCCAAACATCTCTTCCTGTTTATGTTTAATTATCCTTTTCATAGAATCATAGAAAATTACAACAAAGAAGGAAGCCATTCAGTCCATTGTATCTGTGCCAGTTGACCAGGAGCTATCCAGCCTAATCCACATTTCAGTTCTTGGTCTAAAGCCCTCTCTTCAGCAACTGTTCCTCCCTGTGGCACATCTGCATACAGGATTCCAGACAGCATGTGTCTGTGAGCTATCCTACTAAGGCAGGAGGTGGAGAAGTATCGTCATGGGCAAACCCAATCTTGTCTTCAACAAAACAACCACAAGCATCTTTCCAGTAGTGGCCAGTGTACAGTCATTGTCAAAATATAGAAACATACAAAATAGGAGCATGAGTAGGCCATTCTGCCCTTTAGGCCTGTTCCAAGATACAATCATTCACTTTCACCCCACACCCTTTGATCCCTCTAGCTCTAAGAACTATATCTAACTTCTTCAAAACTAGAAACAGAAACCATGACTTATCTCCAAGGCCATGAAGTAGTGAAATTTATTAAAGCAACACATTCCTGTCGCGATAGATCAGTATATTGCACAGATTGCTCCTCATTGTATGTAGCAGGATGTGTACACACTATGAAATTTCCTCTTTGATTGGTCATTCTTCTGGCATTTTCAATATTCATTGGACATCTCTGTGTATGAATAAATAATTACATTTAAACATTCATTCCCCCCACCATTGTGACAGTGTCAGCAGTGTTTACAATCTCCAAGATGCTTCACATCAAATTGCCAAGGTTGCTTTGACACCACCTGACAAACCTATGACCCCTACCACCAAGAAGGAAGGGTCAGCAAAGACAAGGAAACACCATTGCCTTCAGTTACCTACCATGTCATACACCATCTCGAGTTGGAACTATATTGCTATTCCTTCGCCATTGTTAAGTGAAATCCCACAACTCAATCCCAAATGGCACTGTAGGTGTACTCACATCAGATGTCGTCTGCAGTGGTTCAAGGATGATCTGCTCAATGGCAATTAATAATGGCCTTTCAAGTGAGATCTACAACTCAGTAGTGAAAAAGGAAAAGAAGAAAAATGCTGACACTGTTCCACCAGCTTCACAAAGGAGATACTGCTGAGTTTTGTGCAGGTGTTGACTGTGGCTCAGTGAGTAACTCACCTCTGAGGCTGCAGGTAGTGATTTCAAGTCCCGTTTCAGATTGTGATTCAAGCTGACATTCCCGTGCACTGTGGAGGTGTATTCTTTTAGATCAGACATTAAACCACTGCCCTGCCTGCTCTCTAAAGGGGTTTAAAAGTTCCTGTGACACTGATTTGATGTAAAGTTGGAAAGCTCTGTTTGGTGCCCAGGGGCCATTTTATGTCCCATATAAAAATTATCTGGCCATTATCACATTACTGTTTATGTTGTGTGTAACTTAGCTCCTAATTTTCTACATTATAACAGAAACCAAATTTCAAAAGTAATTTGCTATCTGTGAAATGCTTGGGTCGTCTTAAGGCTGTGAAAGGTGCTACAGAAATGCAAGACCCTCAGTCTTTCTTTATGCTTTCCAAAGGGAGAAAGTCTCTGATCTTTTAAAGTGTCATGAGAGATCTGATGTGAACCATACCCACTGATGTAAACAGTGTAATGATTCTATCATTTGGTTCAGATCCATGCACTGCAAACTGTGTAGGAACAACGGTTGTGACTTCAACTCAAGCAGGGGAGAAACCTCCTCCATCATCCAACAGAGAGAAAGAAATGAAGGTAAAATCAATCCAAACTTGCAATGGTACAGACTCTCAGGGAATTGCTGAGGTTAGGGGGAATACCGTGATGAGTTCTTGTCCCATTCAATAACAGCCTACAAATTTTCTACCAAATTACAGCGTGTTTTGATTAGAATTAACTGGGTCATAAATCTAAGATCAGGCTTCACCTTTGACCTGGAGATGATTGGAGAATAGTAACTTTGATGAGTAAACATCAATTTGATGTACATTTCTGTGGTGTACACAGCAATTCTTATCTTCAAGCATCAGGAATAATCAAGCGGGCTAGTGAATGTCCTGAAGACACAGTTTAAATTCAGCTGATGGAAGTTAACTTCAATTCATTAAAACATTTGGAATTGAAATCTAGTTGAAAGTTGAAAGTTGAAAGGATTGGTAACCATGAAATTACTAGATCGTCGTAAAAAGCCACCAAGTTCATTTATATGAAGTTTGCCATCCTCCATGTAAGTCCAGACTAACATTGGCTCTTAACTGCTCTCTGAAATGGCCTAGCAAGTTTCTTCATTGGGCAATTAGATGTAGGCAACAAAAGCTAGCCTTGCCAGCAAAACCCACCTCCCATGACAAAGACTTTTCAAAATGACAGTGCCATATTAGTATCCTAATAGGTATAGCCCAGAGTGATTAGCATTCATGAGAAAGTTCTTCTCACAGTCACTCTATTGAGTTTTTATTTTATATTATGTTTGAAATTAAAAACTAAATTTATATTTTGGCCTGATTGATAATTGTATTCTCCAGAAATCATTTGATAACCTGTCAATTCATTAATTAAAACATATTGCATTAAGTATGAGATTATATCTAATAAGTTATGTTGTTAAATTTATGATAACTTTCTATATAAGAACTGCCGTGAAAAACTCTGGATTTGATTAGGTGTCCATAGAACATGAATGCTGTATTTCCACCCAACTATTGCTTATACTTGGTCTTGTGGTGGGTGTGGTTGTTGTACCTTCAACCATGCTCCAGCTCACATACCCTTGCCCTATCTCCTGCCTAGCTCACCCACCTTCCACCCTAGCTTACACCTACCATGCACCTCCCTCTCTAACTCACACCCAGCTTCCATTCCAATTCACATCCAACTCTCCCTGTTCATACGCAACTCTCCCTTCTTCTTGCACCCATCTTTCCCTTCTCATACCTGCTGCTACTTCCAGTTCCTACCCACCTCTTCCCATCTCATGCTCATTCCTTCTCTCCTGCTCACTCCCAGCTCTTGATCTCGCTCAAATTCTACTCTCAAGAATCTCTCTGCAACCTCTTTCTCACTTGCCCAGTCTTATTGTAATCAGTTTCTAAATTATGCTACTTTCCCTGCTATCCCATTCTCAATACCTCTCTGTTGTGCTTTTCTTACTCCCCTCCTTTAAATGTTGCAGTTGGTTTATTTTGCTGCCTCCCTGCACTTTCCTTGACTGGGTTTAACAGCTTATTTGATGTGCAGTGGGAGAGGAAAAAACGGTATGACTCTTTGTGAGAAGAGACTCTTAGCTTAACAAGATGTAGTATATTGTAATATAGCAATGAGGTACAAATTACATTTGTAAGTTAGACATTGTTGCTAAGACTGTGAGCAGACCTAGGATATTCATGCATCATAGGTGACTGAACCTGGACTTTGGTGATTATTAGGAAAGCAATGTTGGAGGAATTACTTGAATCTTTAATATTTCTCTCACTCCATCCACATCCAGCTCTTGCCACATGGTAGCTGTTTGAGAAACAGCCATGTTTCCATCCTCACCAAGCCAATGTGTCCAAGCTACCTCTTCTGAATTCTCTGTTGCTGTCAATGTCATGTTTTTCCAGAAAATGGTGCCTCTGTAATCTTGAATTGTTGATATCACACTCATATAATTTTAACATATTTGGCACAAGCACACTATTCCTGGAAGACTTCAGTTTTCATATTCAGCTTTCAGGAAAATAAAGCATTTGCACTAACAAGAACAGCAGAGTTCTGTTTGTTCACTTCCTGCATTAATGCCCAGGCTACTTAATGCATCAGTACCTACCAGTTGACCAGCCATTCTGGTGTAATTGTTGCAGTGTTTTGCTCTACTAAATAAAGTCCTTGCCCATCCTGTACATACAGGTCTAATGAGAACAAGATGCTACAGCTCACAGAACAGACCGAGGGAATAGCGCTGTTCCATGGTGTGTACGATTCTGTGCATAAGCAGGGAGAGGTTCGACTGGTTTAATAATGCCCTTTGGGGCAGGAAGCTTATCTTTCTTGCTTATTCTGGTGTGATTCTGTTCTCACTTTGACTCTTAACTTCCCTGTGAAGTAGCCTAACAAGCCATCCAGTTACAACAAACCTAAGCAACTAGGAATGACCATGTATCCTGACCTTGCATGCAATGCCATACCCAAAATTTTTTAAACATCCCTGTTGTACTTGGGTCATTTTCCTATTACCAGTGAGCAAAGTATCTCAGTTTAATAAACTTAAAAACATAATTAATGTAATCTTTAGCAAGAGATGGTGAAACCAAATTTGTCACTTCTGTGGGATAGACATAGCAATTATGACTTTTGGATGGATTTGCATGCTGTAGCTCCAGGATTCATGTCTCTCCCGACAGAGAGATTTATAGGTTTTTGATGCTGTCGTCATCCTTGGAAGTAACCTTCATACTTCATCAAACAACCCTTTGAAGGTGGCTGGACAAGATCAAAAGACTGTCTTTAAAGCACCTACAACACTCTGAGCTTCATAGATAAAGGCATAGAGTTCAAAAGCAGGGAATTTGTACCTTTATAAAACACTGATTTAGCTTCAGCTGGAATATAGTATCCAATTGTGTGCACCACACTTTCAGAAGGATGTCAAGCCCTTGGAGAGGCTGCAGATAAGATTTACCAGAATGGTTTGAGCAATGAGAGACTTAGTTGTGTGGAAGGCCCAGACAAGTTTGGTTGTTCTCCTCAGAGCAGAAGCAAAATTATAAAGGTTTTGATAGAGTAAATAAGGATGAATTATTGCCAGCAGATTGGTAGCCAGATGACATACTTATAAGATCATTGGCAAAAGAACTGGTGATGACATTAATGAAAATAAATTATGTAGCAAATTGTTAGAATCTGGAATGCTGTGCCCAAAAGGGTGATGGAAGAAAATTCAACACTAAGTTTCAAAATGAGATAGAAGGACAAGCTTTTACAGGGCTGTAAGAAAGAGGGGAGGAATGGGATTAATTGGATTGCATTTTCAAAAAGCCAGTATCGGAAAAACAGGTTAAATGGCCTCATTTGGTTTTGCATCATTCTATGAAAAGGACATTTAATTTTCTCTATTGAGAATCCATGGTTCACCTGGCAGAATGTTACTACAGTTAAGAATGGCAGATATGGTTTAATCAGGGATTCGTGATCCAGAGGCACAGAGCTTGGGTTTTAATCACATAGAATCTCAGGGGAAAGGAATGGTAAAGAAACTAAGGAATTTCACATCTTTGAAGTGCTGGGAAAGAATAAGCTACAGTACAGTTTGATTTGAACACAGTGAGAATGCAACCTGGAGGAAGTGTGTAAGACTTAGGCCTTTGTAGAGTGTATGGAATCATTTAAAAGTTTGGTAATAAGGACTAACTTGAACACAATTCTCAGATTGAAACGAAACAAAGAATGTGGATGCTGGGGATCTGGAACAAAAACAGAAATTGCTGGTAAAACTCAGAAGATCTGATAGCATCTGTGGGGAGAAAGCAGAGTTAATATTTCAAGTCTGGTGACTCTTCATCAGTTCTGCCAGTTCTGCTTTCACCAGTAATTTATGTTTTTTGCCTCCCAAATTGAAAGTAGTGTGAGAGATCTATTAGAGGCTGTGGAAATGGGGAAAATACCTGAGACCATTTGGATAGCTTTATGAAAGACCAGTCACACGCATCACAGGTCTGAATGGGTTTTTTCTATGCAGTGCATGATTCTAAAGGAGCTGCTGACACCAAAACTATGGATGAAGATAAAGAGTAGAGGCACCAGAAGTAAAAGTCAGATTTTGTGGAGAACAAAACGGCATAGAAGTATAAAGTAGGAAATAATGCAGGAATCATTGGTGGAGTCTCATTTCCTGTCAAGGCGGTTGATAGGATCACAGGGATTGCAGCTCGAAAGTTGATATTGATGGTTATTGCAGTATATTAGGTTTCCAACACCATTTCTGTTGATTTCAAGGCTAGAATAACTCAGAATTTATTGGGCAGAAATTGGAGTTTTTGAAAATTGTGAATAATATTTATTAGGTTGTGAGCTGTAATCTAGGGACTAGTTCTTAACCACTTAAGATTACTTGGAACATGCTGCATTAAGTCTTTGTACTTGCAACACACCACCTTGGTGTCACAGTAACCTTGCTTTGTTTTGGTGATATAATATGTCATTCACTTATAGCTTTTGGAAGTCCCTGGCACAAGAGAACAGGACATTCAATTAAATTCTGAGGTTAGTTCTGTCATTATATTAATCATTTAATTCTGGTTTCATGAGCAATACTGTTTTAAGACTGATCTTTTTTATCCTAAACTATTGTATTAGAAACACACCAGAAAAATATCTCCGACCAGAAAGAAAGTGGAAGCCAGAAAGTTATCCCCAGCACCAGTGAGTTCCCAAGTCCTTCCTTCTGCAAAATTTTCAGAGGCATCAATCCAACCGGTTTTACTGGGAACTGATGCCTGTAGAGAATCCAAGTCAATGGAAAAGAGTGACCATGTCAAAGTAAACCTCAACATAGATTCCAATGGGGCAGCACATGCTTTGGGTAGTCCTACAAAGCTGGGAACTCCAGAGTACAAGCAATGTCCTTTAAGGCCCTCTCAGCTTCCAGTTTCTGAATTAGCCACTCCAAAGCCTGCCCCTGAAAACACAGAGCAGACTGTTCCTCGCTCCAGAATGCCCTGTAGGGCTGAAATCAAGTCGTTTAGTTCACAGCCTCTGTTGCGTGCCGTTTCCTGGGAATGTCTGGAGGTCGATGAGGAACTAAGCTCACCGCCACAATCACCACCCAAGGCAGAAGAGAGATTTGGATTCAGTGAAGTGTTTGATGCCAGTCAACTGAAAGCATCCAACTGCAAAGACTTATCTGTGCAACCGAAGATGCAGAAACTTGCCAAGCTCCGAGAGGTAATATTGTCGCTTGTTAGGAAGGCTTTCCACAGAGAAAAGCCTTGCATGCTTGCTGGGGCCTGTGCATATTCCTTTAAAGATTGTCGAGGGTCTATCATATATGCTTTCCACTGTGATCTTGCAAGCATGACATAAACAGCAAGCAAAACTGGTATTATCTTGCCTTAGTCCAAGCGCACTTTGCATGTGTTTCTTCTGACCTTGTCAGCTACACCATGCTATTGTTGCTTGACAGGATACAAATGATACAAAGCATAGAATGTACTAAAGGAAACCAGAAAGATTTTCCATTATTGCTTCCTCAGAGTGCTGTTGTTCACAGCTGTGAATAAGAGCTGCCTCTGCAAGAGCTTTCAAGCTAAACTGATAAACATTTGTCATATATTAAAAATCATGTATCAGTGTGCATTTTCTGTCTGCCACAGCTCTGTCGCATTTTGGTGCCATACTTTTCCCATTATCAGTCTCAGTGTCTGTATTTATAATGGGAACAGTGTATGTAAACTAGTCACGCAGTAATTAAACCCACCCACAAATGATGGCACTCCAGTGCTGTCGTTTCTCGCCTGTCAGCTTTCAAATGTCTGCAGCAGAGAATGTTCTACACTCGAACCAGCTTCATACCTTTGCTCTGCAAAATGCTGTAAGTTTGAGTTTTTTGAGTATAAAGTATAAGATGAATGTTAGTAAAATGAGGAGAAAATGCTTTACTTTAAAATGATTGTATCTGAATCAGTATGATCAACCTTTTGTACATTAGATTTGATTTGCTATAATTAATTTATAAACAAAAATACTGCAAGGACATTTTAGGATAGTACATTTTTTGGGGTTGGCAGGTGGTTCAGGGAATTCAACAAGTAAAACTTAGTTTTTCTCCTTAGTTAATAACATCACTTACGCATCTGGAACATTCCATCTGAAGTGATAGTGGAAACTGATTCCATAAATAATGTTAAAAGAGAATCAGGCATATACCAGAGGCTGGAAAGTTTACAAAGTTATGGGCAAAAAAGTGGGATTCTAGGACAAAACAGGACTGCTTGTTCCAAGAACTAGCAGACATACAAAGTGCCAAATGGCCTGATCTGTTACAATTTCTTATAATTTTATTTCTCAGGGGCATCTCAAAGTACTTTAAATTAAATCAACTGTTTTGAAACAGTTATATTGTTGCTAATGTTCATTAAGTGAAATGTACATTACTCAGTCCCCTACTATACTCCTTATACACTCACGACTGTGTGGCCAAATTCCACCCCAACTTCATGTACAAGTTTGCTGATGACATCACCTGTGACAGGGACTGTAGTTCAAGCGCCGAACTCTTTAGCCACTTTAGAACTAATTTTTATGTGGAAGCAAGTCATCTTCGATCACCAGGGACTGCCTAAGAGGGAGACATTAATTATGCACCTAAGGCTCATAAGACCTCCTTTGTCCCCTTGTGGGGTGACTTGTGGATTGAAATCCAGTGGCTAAATGAGCTAGAAACCTCTGCCCTCAGAATCTCCAACACTCAACTAATTGGATGGTGTGGGCCAGAGAAAAGTCACCTCATTTAAATGGCACTGGAGAGCTCTGATAGTCCTGGTGAGAAACCTTAGGCTGTTAGCTTGCTGCTATTCTGGTAAGCTTTTTCAAGCAGTGAGTTGACAGGCCTTTGGAATGTCCTGCCTGAGAATGTGGTGGGATCAAGGTCAGTTGAGACTTTCAAATGGGAATTAGATCATTACCTGAAAAAAGCAAAAAAATTACATGCTAACAGGGAAAAGACAGTGGAATGACTATCACTGAACCTCTTCTACAGAGGGCCAGAACAAATGCCTCTTTCTCCTATAAATATTCCATAAGTTAATAGCTTCCCTTCCTCTCTCTCTCTATCTGTCTCTCATGTGTCTGTGATCCTTTATCTGTATTTGATTTATATGTCTAATTTTTTTTTTTATGTGTTGTTACAATTCTGATGAGAGGAGTGAGCTGGTAATGAAACCCCACTACTTACCAGGTATAACTAACTGATTTATTTGGTATCATAATGGTCAGTTTGTCTCTCTTTTGTACTCTATCCAGAGTCAAAGAAATGTCTACCAGGCTTCTTTAATGAACTCAAAGATAATACATTAATTACAAACAAGACTTGTTCTTTAAACAAGCAACAAAAATGGTTAACAACTAAACTATTCAGAGTTAAACCATATTCCCTACTTAATCCCAAACACACACATTCATGCACAGGCATGACAACAGAGTTCTGAAAATTGTGTTTGGAGAAACAAGTGAAGAAAACAGCACTCCTGTGGGTTAAGGGTACAAATGGGTTGACCCCTCACAGTTCCTTTGATTTACTGTCAATAAGATCTGATTGAAATGTTGCACTTTAATTGGAAGGGTGCACTGATAATCCTACCTCACATCGTCCCATGTAGATCACTAAAATGACCAATTTGCTGACAGACTAATATTCAGGAAAAAAGCAATTTCTCTGGTTTCATCATTAACAGAAAATAACTCCATATTTCAAATCTACTACTATGCAACTTAAACTATACCCCTTCAAAAACCCCAAACACACACAAACATTCATGAGTAAAACAGACAAAAGACAAACAATTTGATGCATTAACATTGAGTGAAAAATAATGTAGACAGAATAAACAACATTCTGAAAGTCAAAAGTCTAGCATTCTTGGTTTTCTGTCTGTTCCCACAGTGAGGGAAAGAGCGAGAGAGAGAAGGATGTTTACTGTCTGCAGGCTGCAGATGCTCTCTCTCTGCTGTTCTGGCATTTCTCATCTCATTCGTAGTCCTTTGCAGATGAGGATGACTCTCTTCCACTCTCAGGGTGAGTCCATACGTGGCTGTACAGACTGATGCAGATACTGCAGGCTCTATTACACTTGGGGCAGAAGGTGGTCATGGAAAGGGATGGTGGGGCAATGATGTGGCACAGGACTCCTTTTGTTATTTTTGCCTGGCTTCTACTTCTTGCCAACAGCAAGTCTCAAGGTGCTTGACACCTTTCCAGATGCTCTTCCTCCACTTTGGACAGTCTTGTGCCAGTGATTCCCAGGTGTCTGTGGGAATGCCGCATGTTGCCAGTGGGGTCATGAGGGTATCACTGAAGTGTTTCCTCTGTCCACCTGGGGCTTGTCTGCCATTTTGAAGCTGGGAGTAGAGAACCTGCCTGGGGGAGTCTCGTGGTGGTCATGTGGATGATGTGCCCAGCCCATTGTAGCCGATCAAGGGTGGTCAGTGCCTCAATGCTGGGGATGTTGGCCTCGTCGAGGATGCTCATATTGATATGTCTTTCTTCCCTGCGGATTCGCAGGATCTTGCACAAGCAGCATTGTTGGTACTGCTCCAGTGCCTTGAGGTGTCTGCGGTAGACAGTCCATCTCTGAAAGCCATATAGGAGGGCAGGAACCACCACAGCTCTATAAACCATGATCTTGATGTCAGATCTGATGTTGTCCTCAAACACTCTTTTCCTCAGGTGGCCGAAGGCTGCACTAGCACACTGGAGGTGATGCTGGATCCCTTCATCAATAGCTGCTTTGGCCAATAGGACACTCCCGAGATATTGGAAGTGGTCAATGTAATTTACAGCCCTAAAAATAAACAGCTCAGTCAATCAGGCAGAGTGTTCTTAACTCAAAAGACTCGGTGTCATTCAGTCTCAAATTCTCCACATCACTGGTTCAAAAAAACAGTATTGTTTTGCACAGCTCAGAAATATATAGCAATTGTTTTTCAAGTTGCAAAATTCTCCTGGTATTTCAGTTGTATAGCAATCCAACTTCCATTTCAGTTTATAGTTCCAAAAATATGTGGTCTTTTGCAACTGACAGTTACAGAATAGTGGAAAATCTTCAGACCAGAATTCAGATTCAGATGGAAAACGGTTATGAACATTTATATATAAATTTGTTTTGCAAATATTTCCCTGAAAGATCTTTCAGCTGGTTTTATTTTTCCTCTTACTGACAGAGAGAGAAAGCTGTACATTTTTTTCAATTACACACATCTAGGTCTGTGAAAACACCCAGCAACTTCAGGCCAGAGGTTATTGCTAGGCACTGACCAGCTCAGATCTTAGGGTCCTTCCAATTCTGTTTGCCTAGCAATTAGACCATAAGACCATAAAACCATAAAACATAGAAATAGAATTAGGGAATTCGACCTACTGAGTTTGCTCTAGCATTCAATCATGGCTGATATGTTTCTCAGCCCCATTCTCCTGCCTTCTCCCCATTATCCTTGATCCTCTTATTAATCAAGAACCTGACTATGTCTTAATTCCATTCAATAACTTAGCCTCCACACCCCTCTGCAACGAGTTCCACAGACCACCCTCTGGCTGAAGAAATTCCTCCCCATCTCAGTTCTAAAGAGTCATCCCTGCACTCTGAGGCTGTGTTCTCCTAGTACTGTAGGGACATAAAATCCACTTTTTTCTCCTAAACTCTTTTTAGTGGACTCTTCCAAAATTATTTGCTTTTCCAGTAAACAGCAGATAATCCCTATTGTATCAGAGATAGTAGGAACTGCAGATGCTGGAGAATCTGAGATAACAAGGTGTAAAGCTGGATGAACACAGCCTTCCCCTCCCCCATGTCTGATACCCCCTTCCCCTCCCCCATTTCTGATGAAGGGTCTAGACCCGAAACGTCATCCTTCCTGCTCCTATGATGCTGCTTGGCCTGCTGTGTTCATCCAGCTCTACACCTTGTTATAGCAGATAATCCCTAGTTCTCTTTGATCTTTTGACGTTTTGTATCCAAGAAATCACATGATAAAGTAACTTCAACCCAAAAACATCTAAACATTTCATATTCAGTTCCATATTTCAGTTTTTCATAGTCCATTAATGTATATATTTCTTACAGTGTGAACAATTACCCTCTCTGCTCTTTCACATTGTCTCTCCCTATCTTTTTTCTCCCTTCCTGTCTGTATCAGGACCTTTCTTCCTGTCTCTCCTTGCTGTTAAGCCCATCCTGATCCTTCGTCCCACTCTTACATTTTTTATTTTATTATTCCCTGCTCACTTTTCCCTGCCTTACCATTCATTCTCACTGCCTCTCTGTCTCTCTCTCTCTCGCTCTCTCTTCCTCTCCTTCTCTCAGTTCCATTTCTCTTTCTCCAATATGATAGTCATTCCTGTGAAGCACTTTGCCATGTTTTATATGGGAGCTGATAATTGCAAGCTGTTGTTGTGGTTAGTTAGATTGTAATTGTCTTGCAAACAACATCTTTTCTGCTGGAGTCTTAGAGTAAAAGGGAAATTGCCATGAGGTATTTTGTCCCTGCAGTGGCCAATCTATTTGTTTGATCCAACAGTCAGCTTTATTGGGAGGTGCAACAGCAGTTTGTGAGGCTACATTTTTATTGAACAAGGTGAACTTGATGGATCTTTCTCAATATCCTGTTGGTGGGATTTGATGCAAAAGATTTAACCTTGAGGTATCATTTTTGCAGCAGTCAGTGCTGTTCCTTTAGCAAATTATATTTGGGAAATATCCTACATCTCTTGATTTTTGAGTTGCATTCAATATATGGTGAAGAATAATGTGTGACAAACCACCTGCTTTAAAAGCTAAGGTAGAAATGTAATCTGACATCATATCTGCTGTGCCTCACAGCTTCGTGTACAGTTTATAACCTGTGAACCTTGGAGAGTTAATCGCAATCAATAATGTCTTGTGGCTAAAACATAAAAACCATGGAGGCAACTGTTGCATTTGTGTGATTTATACACTGGTCTTTATGGTAGTTGTAAGGTGTTTTACAATATTTGTGGGATTTTTTTAAATCAAAAGATGCAGCATTTTAGTGAAATCCTACAATAGCCATTTTGCCTGGCTGAGAATCGCTTCCTGTGTGTTCAAATGCAACCTCAATAATTGCAGGAGTAAACCAATCTCCAGTGTGAGACAAGTAAAAGGTTTCTCTTTATTTAATCAGGAAAATAAAATGATGAGGAACCAAAACCTGTCAGCATTGAGATTACCGGATCTCAGTGAAACAATCGAACAAGACAGAGGTAGGAGAAAGCAGCTGAATCAGGCACAGATTCTTGTGTATGTGTGGGGTTTGGGATGTGTGACTCTGTCTGTTTGTAGGTGGACTGTGTGTCAGAGATTGGGTGCATGTATGACAGTTGGAGAATGTTGGGAAGGGCTGTATGTATATGTGTGTATGTCTGTGTCTGTGTGTGATGGGGCATTGTGTATGTATGTGTTGGGAGTGTATGTGTCAGATGGTTGTTGAGGGTGTTTAAATGTGCCAGTGTGTGGTGCAGTGGTTTATTTTTGTTTTGGGGTTCCATGTCTATCTTGGAGTCTTAGGGCTTGGCAGTGGCTGAGGTTTGTGTGTGGGATTTGTGTGGGGGTGGAGTAGGTTTTGTGTGTATGGGGGTGCAGGCATGGTTTGGGTTTTTTATTGTGTGTGTTAAACAGTTCGAGCATGTATTGATAAATAGCAAGTATGTGCTTTGAATTGCAGCAGTGTTGCTGTCCAAGCTCCCAGACTAATGGAAAACATTCATTGCCTCTGTGGGGGTAGAATCAACTGTTATATAAAAGACGTGAGCTGCATTGAGTTAGATACTTTTAATTTCTTTGCCCATTAAACATTTAATTAGTTTAATTAATTTTGTCACTGAGCTTACTGGCCCTGAGTTTAACCCTGGGGAAACCAGAGAGCAAACAACTGCAGGGCTCTGGCAGCATCACAAATTGTTTATCACTTGCATTATTTCACAAAGTAAAAGACGAAAGATGCTGGAAATCAGAAACAAAAGAAGAAATTGCTTGTAAAGCTCAGCAGGTCAGGCAGCATCTGTGGAGAGAAATAGAGTTAACTCCTCCTCAGAACCTTAGTTTGACAAGGTGTTCCTCTGCTGCAGTCAAACTGGGGAAGTTTAAACCTTTTTCTCTTGCCATTTAGAAAGTTCTAACAGCTCTTGGAAACTTTTTCTGAAATGTCTTTAAGGTCCGTCTCCTACGCCCTGCCCAGCAGCCGAAGGGAGTAAAGGCAATTCTGACATCACGCCAAATATCCCAGACTCTCTGTTGAGGAAGTTGAAGGTTCACAGATCACTGCCTGGAGGGTAAGGTTACAACTTCTGAGTAACAGCTCAGTTCTCAAATCTCTACCCCCTTCACTCTCTTTATTTCCACCTCTTTTTGTTTCTTTCTCTTTTACTACCTTTCTGCCTCTTTACCTGCCGCACTCTCTTTGTCTCTCCCTCTGTTTGTGTCTTACTGTCTATCTTGTGTATGCTCCATCACACTCTTGTTTTCTCTTTTTTCTCTGGATCTTCATTTCTCAACTCTTTCTCTTACACCTTTATCTCTTACTATATTTCTCTCATTTCCTTTCCTCTGATCCTTTCTCTGTTTCTCTTCCTGACCCTTTCTGCATTTTTAACTCTCTTTCCTGGTTACACTGTCTCTCCTAACTCTCTGTCTGACTCTGTCCCTTTGTCTTGCTTTTTGACTCTCTCTCTCTTTCTGTCTCTGTCTCTGTCTCTTTCTCTTTCTTTACCTCTCTCTAAGCTCCATGGATCCTTTTCCCTTATGTCATCCAGCCTCCTTTCTGTCTTTCTCTCCATTAGATCTTTCAGTTAGGTGTCTGCCCATCTGTCTCATTCTCTCTCTCTCCCTTTCTCTCCTTTCTGTTTCTCTCCTTCTTTCCCTGACATTCCACAATCTAATCATTTTTCTGCTTGTCATAAACTTGTGTTTGATACAAGTGGAATGGAAGAGTTCACTAGTCCTGCTACTGACTGAATTTGTGATCCACCAAGTTAGCAGGCAGGAGACTGATTTCAGTGGATTTAACAAGAACTACAACAATAATTGTACTCAGACAACAGAGCTATACAATCTATAAACCTGAGCAAATTTACACTTTAAAACAACAGTAGCTAGCATTTATGAAAGTATCTTTAAATAATAATAAAATATCCCAAGGTACATCACAGGAGCAATATCTAACAAAAATTAACACTGGAGGCTAGATATAGGAGAAAGGATGAAGGATATGTTAATGGATTTAGATGAAGATGGGTGGCAGGAGGCTTGTGAGGGACAAAAAGCTAGTGCGACCAGGTAGTTGTTGAGTTGCCAGCTGTGGTTGGAGACATTTTTGTATGTTTGATCAAGTGATATTCTAACCATCTGATGCATAACCATGTGATGGTTAATGACATGCCCCCTAGAAATGTTATTACATTCAACTTAGAAAAGTTGGATTCCCTGTAGTGAGTGTTTGTTGTGTGAAAAATTCCAAAACGAGGAGGCCTCCCATGAAGAGGGGATGTCATGTTTGGTAAGGAGAAGCTGAAGAATGCCCCCATTTTAAAGATTCCCATTTCACAGCCTCTCTCGATTATTGCAACTTTCCATTCTCTCTTCTATTTGGCATGTTTCCAATCCTTTAGGAGGTTTATGTCCCCAAGCCTAAAGAAGCCAGTAATATCATAAACCAAAGGTTAGCTGGGCTGGAGGTGAGTGCATCAGGGGAGGGGGATAGTAGTGATGCACTCGAACAGGAAGTGTAAATCTTCTTGGCTGACAGGGCAGGAATCCTTGGATCCAGGAAATTACTGGTCATTCCAGAGCCATTGGCAATCCCAGTTGGGCTAAATGGTCTGTTTCTGTGCCACAGTGTCTGTGTAACTTATATTTTTCTTTTCTTCTTGCAGTCTGCCTCCCCTGACTGAGAAGGAAGTTGAGGTGGGTCTATCTCATTTCCCTGCTGACAGCGGTTTGCACTGTGCTGGTTGTAACTCCATTAAAACATCCTATTCTCATCAAAAATATAAACCGACATGAGTACAAAGTCAACAAGTCTCCCATCGAAGGCCCTCTCAGAGTCTCCCGTGGATCTTTATGACGTATCTGTTTGACTGAAGGTCAGAGGGCAAATTCTCAAGTGTAGAGAGTACTGGCTTCAAGTCAGCAATAACTGACTGACTCGTCATTGCTGAACACAATGAAAATCCCAGAACTAAGATTTAACAGTCTAATTTAATCCAGACTTAAATGAGTGATGTATTTAGCAGATTCTGTACAACAGTCCCATTGTCCCCGAAGTGTGGGATCTGAATTTGATGGGCACATTAATGGGATGCTCCAGGATAATGACTATAAGGGCAATTTACATGTTATAGGGCCTTTAACCACAAGAAATGTTGCTCCACGTAGCATAGTTAAACACCAGGTCAAAGAGGAAGATATTATGAGAGATGGCTAACAACTCAGTTGATTGCAAAAACAGAGCACTGCGAATGGTGGAAATCCAAAATTAAAGCAGAAAATAATGTAGAAGTTTTGGAGAGGTTGCAAAAGAGATTTACCAAGATGTTGCCTGGTTTGGAGTGTATTAGCTATGAGGAGAGGTTAGACAGACTTGGATTGTTTTCAGTAGAGCATCAGAGGCTGAAGGGTGACTTGACAGAAGCATATAAAATTACGAAGGGCGTGCATATGGTGGATAGTCACAATCTTATTCTCTAGATGGAAATTTCAAGTTCTAGGGGGCATAGGTTAAATGTGAGAGAGGGAAAGTTTAAAGGAGATGCGCAAGGCAAGTTTTTTTTATGAAGAGAGTGGTAGGTGCTTGGAACACGCTGCCAGGCAAGGTGGTAGAAGCAGATATGATCACAATGTTTAAGAGGCATTGATACAGATATGCAAACAGGCAAGGAATAGAGGGATGTGGGCTGTGTGCAGGCAGATGGGATTAGTTTAGAATGGCATTACAGTTGGCATGCACATGGTGAGCTGAAGAGTCTGTTCCTGCACTATACTGTTCTATATTCTATAAATAGCTGGTAAAATTCAGCAGGAAGAGCAGGAAGTAGCATCAATCCAGTTATCATTGTCCTGGAAATGGGGTAAGGGAAAGGGCCTGAATTTTATTTTCATTTGTTCAAGGGTTATGGGCATCACTGGCTAGGCTATCATTTATCGGCTATCCCTAGTAGCCCTGAAGAAAGTGTACTTAGGATGTAGGGACAGCCACAGTGCTGTTACCCCAGCAACAGTGAACGAATAGTGTTATACTTCCAAGTCAGATGGTGTGCAGCTTGGAAGAGAACTTGGAGAAAGTAGTGCTCCTACTTGTCTGTTGCTCTTTTCCTTCTTGGTAGGAGTCATTATTTTAGAAGATGTTGTTGAAGAAGCTTAGTGAGTTGCATCTAGTGCATAGTACATACTGCTGCCACTGTGTTGGTGGTGAAGGGAGTGAATATTGAAGGCAGTGGATGGGGTGTCACTCAAGTGGGCTGTTTTATTTAGATGGTGTCAGGCTTCTTGAATCTTTTTGGAATTGCACTCATCCAGGAAGGTGGGGAGTATTTCATCAGACTCCCGAGCTGTGCCTTATAGATGGTGGACAGACTTTGGGGAGTCAGGAGGTGAGTTTCTTGACATCAAATTCCTAGCTTTTGTCCTGCTCTTGTGACCACAGTATGACTGGTCCAGTTCGGTTTCCCCCAGAATGCTGACAGTGGCGAATTTAATGATGATTATGCCATTAAATGTCACAGAGAGATGGTTAGATTCACTCTTGTTAGAGTTGGGCAATGCCTCTTACTTATGTGGCACATATGTTATTTGCCATTTATCAATCTAAGGCTGGATATTGTCCAGGTCTTTCTGAAAATTGTCACAGACTGCTTCAGTATCTGAAGAATTGTGAATGATGCTGAACATTGTGCAATCATCAGTGAACATCCACACTTCCAAACCTGATAGAGGGAAGGTCATTGAAGAAGCAACTGAAGGTGGTTGGGCCTAGGGCACTACCCATAGGAACTCCTCAGTGGAGAGTTTTCCCCCCAGTTCCTCCGGGGCTCCTGGATAAAGCTGCCTTGATGTCAAGGGCAGTCACTCTCACCAGACCAAGGACTGGAAAATAGAATGTTCACATAGCCCACAAAGAGACCCAGCTGATCTGCAATCTTGTGGATACCATAGGATCTTTTATTTAGATGAAGGAAGTGGAGTTGAATGAGAAGTTGTTCACAGTGAGAAGAAGTTTAGCCATGCAGAGAAGATTGATGCTGAAGCAACAGGTTAGACCTCTGTTCAAGGCAGACCATCTTGATGGTGGTTGGATTTCATTGGTGAAGAGGAGTTGGTTAGGATAAAGAAACTGGAAACTGATAAAAGCCATAGTTGAGCAACAGATGTAGAATTTTCATGGAATCCCTGCAGTGTGGAAACAGGCTATTCGGCCTAACAAGTTCACACCGACTCTCTGAAGAACATCCCACCCAGACTCACCCCCTACCCTATCCCTGTAACCCTGCATTTCCCATGGCTAATCCACCTAACCTGCACATCCCTAGACACTACAGGCAATTTAGCATGGCCGATCCATCTAACCTGCAGATCTTTGGGACTGTAGGAGGAAGCCAGAGCCTCAGGTGGAAATCCATGCAGATATAGGGAGAATATGCAAACTCCACACAGGCTGGAATTGAACCTGGGTCCCTGGTGGTGTGAGGCAGCAGTGCTAACCACTGAACCACTGTGTCACACACTGTGCAGTTAGCCAACTTGTTTTGCTGGGCTTGGTCTGTTCGCTGCTCCATTGTAGATTGGAATTGATGACGATCATGGAGAACTTGGAACCCCATGTTTAATGTTGTGACATCCCAACTAAAACATTAAGAACATAGGCAGACAAACCAGGGTGAAAAGACGAGAGTTGAAGTGGAGCTGGAGCATGGTGGTATTTAGTATGTCGGTGTTTATGGATGCGGCACTAGAAATCGTATAAATCTTTTCACTGTATGGTGGTCATATCTTTGAAAGTCATTCTGGTGGTAGTTAATTGATTTGATTTCATTGCACTTGAGATAGATGTAATAAAAGTCTAGCATGAGTTGCAGAATCTATATTTCCTATCTCTACCAGTTTTATTTTGCACTAGAAATATAGTTTAGTTTAGTTTATCTTTAAAAATAATGAAAATATATTTTAACATAATAACAAATTAACAGTCCCTTTCTTGGATTACTTAATATTTGAGAGATAGTAGGAACTGCAGATGCTGGAGAATCTGAGATAACAAGGTGTAGAGCTGGATGAACACAGCAGGCCAAGCAGCATCAGAGGAGCAGGAAGGCTGACGTTTCGGGCCTAGACCCTTCTTCAGAA